GGCGAACTAGGTTTGCAGTTATAGCTGACTGGTTCAGACGATATGTATTTGGAAGGGATACCAGTCGAATATGAGGCGTCAGGCATCTTTTCAAGTTTCAGCAGTAGTGTTTTTATGTTGCCAAAGCAAAGTCTTGCACATGTTTGTTTTGGAGCTAACTTTAGTGAAATTTTCTCTTTTTGATTGTATCTTTTGTTCTGTATATTGGATAATGTTGGTTGCACAACATTTTGTTGAATCCTTTTACTTTCATGTCTTTCCTCTTTTGATGAAGGAAAATAATTGAATCCAAGAAGTTTCATAGTTTTTATTTTTTATTTTTTTTCAGATTTTTTAATTATAATGTTCTTGCTTTGTCTTGAGTGCTCCATGAGTACCAAAGAATTGCTGATAAAATGACAACATGAAACTAATGAAAATGGATTTAACTTGTTTTATGACTATACGGAAACACGAAAGTTATGAAACATCTCCAAAAATACCTGAAATCTAGTCATTTTTATGTTCTAGGGCTTAGATTGTAAAAAAGAAAAATGTGCACGAGGCTTAATTTACATAATCCAGTTTAGAGCTCATACCCAACAAGCACAAGTAGAACAACTTTGATTATCAGTCGTTTGGGAAACTCCTTCGGCAAAGGTGATTGAAAAGTTAAACTTCCAGATGGATCTTGCCACAAGCTCCAAGTAATTGCATCTAAAATAGCAGATGATACAAGTATTTCAGTAAAGGTGATCGAAAAGTTTAACTTCCAAATAGCTCTTGTCACAAGCTCAAAGTAATTGCATCTCAAATAGCAGATGATCCTTTTCCATTGTTGCTGTAAAGTTGACAGATGTTAATTGCTGGCAAAGAAGCATTGGTATATATCCATGTCTTATACAAGCCATGCCAAGCTGGTCAGCCCAATAACAGCACCAAACATTTTGCTTGGACATCTAAAAAATAACAGGAAAAAGCTAACATAAATATATTTGAAAAAAAAAGAAGAAAAAAACCATATATCCTATGCACTGAAAACATAATCCTTGCAGAATAATTTTATAGGATAGGATTGCCATTAATTTATGTCCATAATTTGAACAAATTAATGCCACAACTTCCCAAATAATGCAGTCTAAGACTAAAGCCAAACAGAAAATATTAAGACGATTAAATGGGAAGTAGAAAATAGATGTATACCACGACCAACCGTGCTTTACACGGAGACCTGCATCTTCCTCTACCAGCTCAGAGCCAAGTGTTCTTAGTGACATCAAAATCACTTGGAACATCAATTCCTAGATCAAGAGATTAACTACCCAGCTTTCATCTAAATTTCTTTGGAATTGCCAAATCTGAAAGAGGTGAATTCATCTCCTCAAAAAGAGTTGTCACCAATTCCATCTTCCCTACCTTCTTCAAATTGTTTGTTAGTGATCGATATATGTAGACAGAGGGTTGGATCTTCCTCTGCTTCATTTCACTGAAGAGTCTTAATGCTTCCTCAATGTTTCCAGATCGACCAAAAATCTCAATCATTGCAGTGTAAGTAAATAAATCTGGTTCAACTCCACTATCAGTCATTTCTCTAAAAAATACCAAGCACATATCTAACCTCCCAACTCTCCTTAAGTTATTCAATAATGTATTGTAAGAAACGAGATCCGGGCCAGTGTCAGTTTCCTTCATAGAGGCAAACTCATGAAGCATCTGATCCACTCTACCAGCTCGACCTAAGATATCCAAAACAATATTATACGTGAACAAATCAGGCTTACATTTGAAACTATTAAGGTGATCAAATATCAAAAGTGCCTTTTCTATCTGCCTGCATTCTGCAAAGGCAAATATAATTCTGTTTATAACTACTGTGTTTTCCGGGAATGCTAATTCTGATGCTTCTCTGACAAAGCTAAGTAATGCAGTACAGCCGTCTGCCTTTGCAAATGCCCTAGCAAGGTGAGAATAAAATGTTGAGCTCAGGGGTCTAAATGACACTAGTAAATCTTTGAATATCTGAGACGAAAGATCAATGTCATTCTTTTCATCTGCTGCTGCTAAAAGGGTGTTATATGCATCAGGAAAGAAAACATTTTTATCTCGAAAGGATTGAAGTAATCTAAAAGCTTCAGAAAGATTGCCAGCTCTACATAACTTATTAATATATGCAGTACAGGTTTCCTGACTGAGCTTTGGATCATTTTCAACAGAGGCAAGGACTTGATTCACTACTTCATCTGTCACTTTCCCTTCATTTGGTGAGTTCTGGGTTGCAAGAGCCTTACAATTACTTACAAGGGGGAAAACCTGACATATTAAAGTGAAACCAACAGCATGGAATGTGATATGATTCTGTATAAAAAGCAAAGCAATTAATTATATGCTGAAAACACAGGAAGAAAAGAAGCAAAGTATACATTACGAGGCCACAGAGAAATTGAGAAGACATGCATCTGTTAAACTTTGAGCTGCAATGGTAGAATCACAATCATGCAACATGCTACACATGATTTCAAGCATGGAGTAAGATGAAATAAAATCATGAAAGCAAAGATATTATCTTTCACAAGCAAAAAACATCCATGTTGGTATATGGTCAAAAGGTGAGGGTATCAAAGAGCCATCGCAAAGACAAAACTAACATCATATCATCCTGTCCTCGTCCTCCTAATCAAGATGGACTTACTTTATAAGATAGAAACATTTAAAATGACCTCTACCAACAATTTGCAGTGAAATTTAACAGTAAATTGGACAAGTCAACATAATGCATAAAACTCTAGGAATTCTGGAACCAATGTCCCAATCAAACCCAGCAGCATTTCAAAGAATGAATGTGAACACTTTGTCGACTATGCCAATAGTTCGAGTCCGCTAAAGAGCGAGCAATAAAACAAATATGGAAAACTTCAGCTCTTGACAAGATAGAAGCAATCATTTCTCTATATTTTTCCCACTTATCATTCTCTCTATTGTAAAGGGGATTTGAATTTTCACTTGGGACTTAAATTCCCTTTTTCTCTCCGTTCCAAATTTCCCAACCCATGTAGAAAATTTCTATATCTAGGTTTCTCGTCAATCAAGCAAAGAATCAAAATTGCAGCTTTATGCGAAATTCTTAATTAAATGCAATATTGGGTTGCTAAAAGCGGGTTCCTTTTTCACTTACATTAAAGCGATTGCCGAATACTCGAACAAAACCCGAACTGAAATTAAACTTGACTCTGCCAACAGCGATCATTGAGAAATTGAAATTTCAGCAGCAATCATAGAGAATGTTGGTATCGAATTTTGATGCTGAAGAAACAGAAATGGTCTCTTAGCTATTGATTTTGCCAAACTCTGCTCTCTCTTACTCCATTAACCCTGGAAAACATGAGATAAAGAGGGAAGATAGAGCTGGCACGTTAAGGCCTTTTGAAGTTTGTGACTAGGGTTTAAAGAGGGCCGAAGTCTATACAGGCATCATTGGCCCGAGTCGACCGACCCGATAAACCGATAAACCGATAAACCGATAACCCGATAATCTTAAATACATTTTTTCATTCCAAAGAAGAATATTTACCATCTCCCTGACCTGTTTGTTCTAATTTGTTAGAGGTTGGAGTTTTTATTTTTAAAATATTATTTATAAATGATAAATTTAAATTTTTATTAAAAAAATTTTAAAATACTTTTAAAGATTAAAAAAATGAGTAAAAAAAGTTTATAAAAATATAAATTTAAAATTTTTGATATTTTATCGTTTAGGATCTTTAAAAAAAAGGTAAAAAAAATTTAAAAATATAAATTTTTAAAGAAAAATTTAAATTTACGAAGTATAAATATTGCGAAGAAAATGAAGGAATAGGAAGCTGCACCAAATACACCCGAGTTTGAGATTTCCCTTCCTCCAAGTATCTTCCAAACGGCATTTAGATTTCACCAAATTTGAGGTATGAACACATTCTGAAACCCTTTTTCTCTCATAATCTCAGCAAATATTCGCTTTTTTCTTCATTACTCAACCGTAAGTTTCATTTGATTCGATATTACCTCTTGCAATTTTGACGTAGAATGGGCATTTTCTGAATGGGAATGGGTTGCGTTGATTGAGTTTTTCTTTTGATTTTTTTTCTCCTTGGAGAGATCGATGAATTTGACTCTGTAGATGTAACAATGTGTTCAAAATTTTCTACTTTATACAAGGACTTCAAATTTCTACTCAACGTAGTCTAGCATTGTTAGGCTTTAGAATTTATTTGTGATAATTGATTGTGCTTACATTGGCATAGATATGAAATTCTTTAGTTCAAAATTCCACAATTAAGAAAATATACTGAAATTCTTTCTTGATCCACCCTGTCATACCCTTCTTTACATTAAAGGGCAAATATAAAAATGCATTAGTCATGTCAGTCTTACATAAGTTGTATTGCTATTTCTAAAATTACTTTATTCAGTAAACCATTATTTTACACATCAGAGCTTTACATTGTAATTTTGTTCTCCTCCTTTCGATTTAGGAATTGAAATTACAAAGTTATAATTTAAAACCATTATCGAAGTTATAATAATCTAATTGTGCATGCAGGTTAACATGTTAGCATAAACAGGGCCGTGTTTTTCTATGTTGCATTGTAGACTTGCAGTGTTTTCTTCATTTGATTTTATATGGTTTACAATGTTGATCTTATGTAGTTTAGGATATTCATTTAAGTCTTTATCTTGGAGTCAAGTGGTTTAATTATGTCCAGTGCAAATGTGAATTAATTATATTGGAACCATGACTGAACTCTGGTGTCCTTGACCTATTATGCTTCTGTTTTTAATGCTCTGTTGCTTCCTGTCTTTTCTTGAGAAGAGAATGTTTGGTGAATTATTTGAATTTGGAGAGTCTCAATTTGTTTGTGGGATTAATGGGTTATTTGTTTATTCCTTGTGTTCTTACTGTATGTATTCAAATGTTTTCCTTTGAAAAGATAGTTTAGGAGTCACAAAGGTCTAATGAATATTGGGATTTTTTGTTCTATAAATCTGTTTGAAAAGATCAAGTTTATAACATGACTGTTGAGTGTTGATGCATTTTGTGTTGGTTAAAGCAGGGTAGTATGCCTATCATCAATTGTTTATATTTACCTACACCAATTAGTAAAATAAGCTTGAAAGAAAACTAAAAATCATCACTTAGCAACATTTGAGCCATTGTCATGGCAGTTTTAGAATTATAAGATCCATACTTTTGCCGAAAGTATTGTTTGTTCTATGGTTAAGGGAGTATGGGTAATGAAGAAAAGAAAAGGAGCCTTGGATCGTTTTGGAATTAAATAGGATTCAGCATTTGCAAATTTTGCTTAGATTGGCAGAGAAGTTGTCAAATGGAAGGAATGGACCATATGTGGTTTTTTTTTTTGGTAGCTTGGGAAAGATGGTGATTGGTTAAGCATCATGTTTCTATACTTCAATTTTTATTGTAGAATGTAGAATGTGTGTGGAATATTATCTAGATTCTTTTCTTTGTCCTCTTGTCTTGTGTGTTATTGGATAAGAAATGCATTTCGCCTTTATTGTCATTGCAATAATTTCAAAACTCAAAATGACAAAATGACAAAATGACAAAATGTAAAGAAGAGAGTAGGATTGAACAATGGATATGTTGGGCATACAAGTTGTCTTGTTCAAAAGAATAACCATGAAAAATGCATTCTTATTGTAAAAAAGGAAATTATTTTTTATGATTATTTGAAAATCTTAGTTCATCATTGTTTGCTCATCTAATTTTGTATTTATTCATTTCCATTACCTTTCTAAACCTTTTCTTTCCATTTGCTTCTGATTTAGGTTTATTGTTTTGAAATTTTTAGGTAAACTATAATGTCTCGGAGGTATGATAGCCATACAACAATCTTTTCCCCTGAAGGTCATCTTTACCCAGTTGAGTATGCAGTGGAGGCCATTGGAAATGCTGGCTCTGCTATTAGAATTTTATCAAAGGATGGTGTTGTCTTGGTTGGTGAAAAGAAAGTTACTTCCAAACTCCTTCAAACCTCTACTTCCATTGAGAAGATGTACAAGATTGATGACCATGTTGCTTGTGCTGTGGCGGGGATAATGTCTGATGCAAACATCCTCATCAACACTGCCAGGGTCCAGGCACAGCGCTACACCTATGCATACCAGGAGCTGATGCCTATTGAGCAGCTGGTTCAATCTCTTTGTGACACAAAGCAAGGCTACACACAATTTGGTGTCTCCGCCCCTTTTGTGTTTCATTTCTGTTTGCAAGATGGGACAAAAACTATGGTTTCCAACTTTACATGAGTGATCCTAATGGTAACTATGGTGGATGGAAAGCTGCAGCTATTGGTGCCAACAACCAAGCAGCACAATCAATGCTGAAGCAAGATTATGAGGATGATATCCCAAAGGAGGAGGCTGTCCAGCTTGCACTGAGGGTTCTCAGTAAAACCATGGACAGCACTAGTCTTACTTCCGATTAGCTTGAACTAGCTGAGGTATTCCTTACACCTTCAGGGAACGTGAACTACCAGGTTTGCACACCTAATTCTCTCAGTAAGTTGTTGGTGAAGTTTGGGGTCACCCAACCTGCTGTTGAGGCCTCATAAGTTATTTTATGCTCTCAAGTAGTACACTATAGTTAATGAGAAAGTTTGGGTTATGTATGTATTTCTATTTATGAATAAGTTTCAAAATATTTGCACAAGCAGAAGAATTTTGTCTCAATTTCTGAAAAATGGAATGGAACTTTTTCTCTCTTTGCTTGAGAAAAGATATAAATAAGAATGTTAACTTTGTATTTTTTTTTATTTAAAAATGTTAATTTGTTAATTTTTAAATAAAGATATCAACTTTCAATTTTTTTTTATTTAAGGATGTCAATTTTTAATTTTTTTATTTGAAAATATCAACTTTCAATATTTTGATTAAAAAATCCTTGCTATGCTAGAATTATAATTTAATTAATCCTTAAATAAAAAAATTAAAAGTTGGTATCCTTTTGTTTACACCTAAAATAAACCAATAGGGTAAGGCCACGTGTCAAGGTAAAACCCAATTATCAAGAAAATCAATAGGTTGGATTTGGGCTGAGTTATGCTGGCTTACAATTTAATGGCCCAGACGGATTTTCAAGGAGGTTGGATCTTAGGTGGCAGAAGATAAGATTGGATTTGGTAGTTTGAGTTTGATTTAAAATGGGAAATTGAGGATTTTTAGGTAGTTATCTTTAAGGTTGTTGGAGATAATGTTAAATAAAAATTATTGGATAACTGTCAAACAACTGCCAGACCTGCAATCTCACTACTAGATCATGGAGGAACAGTACCGAAAATCGAGGAACAGTACCGAAGATCATGGAGGAAGTTCCCAGCACTGAAGAGAACAAAAACAGCGAGAAGAGAAAAGTTGAAAGGCTTGACCAACACACACACAGACTGCCTAGAGCATGGTTTCAGCTTTCAGACTGCATTTTCCAGATTTCAGCAATAGTTTCCAGATTTTCCAGATTTTCCAAATTAGTTCATAACCTTAGCCTAGGTTTGTCCATTTTTGTTCATATTTTCTTCTGCAAATTTCAATTTAGATTAGTTTTTAAACATTTGGAAGCAACTTAGCCTTCAAAACAGGTCTGCCCTTTTGATTCGGTTAGTTGTTTTTCCTTTTATGAATTTAGTTATGTTATTTGTTCATGTAAATAGGATGAACATTTTCTGCTTTTGTTCTTTTGTCTCTGCACAACATCCAGACATGCAGTTTGTTTAATTTCAATTTTCAGATTTAAATTTATAAGTTTCCAGACTTTAATCGTTTCATAGTTTTTTCTTCAATTTTAGTTATCATTATGGGCTGCGTAGTTGTAATTATTGTCTATTATTTTACTTTTTTTGTTGTCTGCGAATTTAATCTTTATGGCATGTTATTTTCTGTTATTTACTTCATGTTAGTTTAATTGCTTCAGGATATTGTATTTATTTTAGGATTTGTAGCTTTTATTACACTTGTTTGGTTGTGAAGTCCTTGGAGGCTTCCAAGGCAATTAGTAACCCATTTTGTAGAACTCCACCCTCTGTTTTGCAACATCGTCTGGGGCGCAATTTATTTCACAGACGTTCTTTCCAGCCATCCTATTGGAGGTCGACCGTTAGAAAGGAGAAGGGTCGTCTAGAAAATCCTATTTTTCTTGTTTTTGGACAAAGCAAGTGGCACACTTAATAACCAAACTCACGTGGTAAAGGCCGACTTAGGATTTTTTGAGGAAACAATCCTTTGTTGGCACGCCCAATGGGACAACTAGCAGGATGTATCAGTTACAGTTCACAAATCCTCTGTTCATACATTCAGAGGTGTCTGGAGCCATGCCACCGAGAAAGAGCAAAGATAAAGAGCTTCAACCAGCCCAGGCTGAACATGCAGATGATAGTCCAGTTTACTTGGAGGGTGAGAATGATCCAATTGTTCCTCCTTTCTTATCACCCTTTGTGGAGCGATCCTATGGGAATCTAGTATTTAAGGAGAAAGAAGTAGATCATGGGGGTGACTTTGCTTAATCAAGTAATGTGTTTAGAGGTATGACTGAACATTTGGATTTAGCATTCAAAGAACAGAACCAGGCTATGCGGAGACTTGTTGAGAGTCAAGCAGAATCCTCCAGACGTCAGGAAGAGATAATTAGACAATGTATAGAAGACATGAGACGGGTCTTTCAAAAAGGCACTAGGGTGATGCGAGAAACTGGGGAAGAAAGTCGCAGAACACTACAGGCTGTTTCAGAACAAGTGGTTGACCAAGTGCGACAACCCAGACCTGAGATCCCTCATCTAGTCGTTGAAATGCCCAGACAGATCCAGGAAGCCCCAATCCTAGCACTCGGGGGGCAAGGGAATCAGCCTTATCCCAATATTCAACAGCAACATTTTGTCATTGGTGAAGGGCAAAGACAACATCAATTGATGGAGGCTGCTACTCCTGTTGCAAACCATGGCCATCAACCTCAGCATAAGTATATTCTGCCAGTTAGGAAGGGAAATTTGGGTCCTCATCATCAACCTTGACCAAGGGACTTTTTCCAACCACAAGTTCCTCCAACCCAGCCGGTACGGCGTGGTCTGCAGAATCAACCAGCTCAATTTTTTAATAGAGACCATGGGCCAACCTTGAGGCCATTGGAAAAGATTGATAAAGACATATTGAGATTTCCAGACAAAGCGAAGGAAACTATAGGAGTAGATGCAGACCCTTTTCTAGCTGTGTCTGTCGGCGTGACTGTTGCAGACCTTAGGAGTGTTGCCAAAAATCGTAGTCTGCCTTATGCTCAAAGGAACCTGGCTGCCGAAGACTTGAGGTGGGTTCTTGCAGCACAAACATCTAGACATAGCAAGAGCATCAGGTTAGACCAGTAGAGGCTTGGGGGGCAAGGAAGGATCATTGTGACCAGGAGCTTCAGCCCAGAAAGTACCAGACGTTACTCAATTAGTACTAGGTCTCCAAGGATGGTCAAATCGCCACTCAAGTCATCTTCTAGACAGTGGGAGAAAGGCAGTCATCCCAAGTTTCCAGCCCAGAATCCCAGAACCTTGAGGCGCAGACTGCAACGCAAGAGGGCTGAAGAGTGAAAAAGGCAACAAAAGCAGGTGAAGACTGAGGGAAGTTCATCTCGCAGACCACGCCAACCTACAAAAAGGAACATGGTGTGGGTGAGAAAAGAGAAAAATGAGACTATAACCCAGACTTTACTGAAGGGGGATGACCAATCTCCAACCTCTCCAAAGGTGGTATCTGTCATTGTGAGTCCAGACGAAGTTTTGAAAGCAACTTTTGAAGCACAAGAACAGTCTGGGAATCGTGGAGCTAAATCAAAAGAAGATGGCACTATTCATTTTGGGGAATTCTCAGTGAATTTGTCATGTCTGGTGCTAACATTACCCTTAGTTTTCCAAGCCAAGAAAGAGGAGGAACCAATCGTCTGTGAGTTCCCAGAACAGACAGACGAAGAGGTAATCGTTGTTCTAGCTCAAGATGATGAAGAGGAGGACATGGTTGACAAAATTGTGTTTGAAAAACCAAAAGAAAAGATGGCCAGACACATTAGGCCACTTTATATCAATGCTCACATGGATGGGACTCCAATCAGCCGTGTCTTGGTGGATAATGGAGTTGCAGTCAATGTCCTTCCAACTTGCTTGCTCTACAAAATAGGCAAGTCTCTTGATGATTTAGTGCATACTGAGGTTACAATTAGTGATTTTATAAGAGGGGTGAATCGTTCAAGGGGTGTGCTGCCTGTTGAATTAACAGTGGGAAATAGGACACTGATGTCTGCGTTTTTTGTGGTGGATACTATTGCTACCTACAATGCACTTTTGAGGCATGACTGGATTCATTCAAGTTGGTGTATCCCTTCTTCACTTCACCAGAAACTAATTTTTTGGAATTGTGGCAAAGCTGAGGTGGTGTCTGCAAATGATAAGCCTTTTTCAGCCAATACCCACCTGGTGGAGGCTAGATATTATGAAGAAGACATTAGTACCATTCAGTTTTTTGGGATGGATAGACATGGGAAGCCGATTGGGATAACAACATGCAGCAGATCATCATTATCTAAGCGTGTTGTAGAGGAAGTCTGTGATGAACTTTTTCGGCCAACAACAATAATTCCTTATAGGCCGAAGGGGAAACTAAAAATTGAAGAAATCTAATGAAGCAAGCTCGTCTGAGACAAGAAAGAGAAAAGGCCATGTTGGAGATAACAAAGAAATTAGCGGCCTATTTTGTTGAAAAAGCAGTTCAAGTGGATAGGTCTGAAATTGTTCATGAAGGCGATGAGGCAGACCAGGGTGATGAAATAACTTTGGAGGAGCTGGATCTTGCCCCAGCCAAGTTGGATGATTTAAAAGCTGAAGTTTAAAACCCACTGGAGGAGATCAATCTAGGGTTTGTAAGTGAGCCAAAGGTAACATTTATCAACGGCTCTCTTGAGCCGCAGACACGAGATCAAATTGTCATACTTTTGCATGAATTTAAAGATTGTTTTGCTTGGGATTACTCAGAAATGCCAGGTCTGGATCAAAAATTGGTGGAACATAAATTGCCAATGTAGAAGGATTCAGATCGTATAAACAGCCGCCCAGACGCATGCCTGCAGAGGTCACTTTGAAGGTGAAAGAAGAAATTGAGCAGCTGGTGAAAGCTGGATTCATTTGGACATGCAGGTATGCAAAATGGTTGTCAAATGTAGTGCCTGTGCTGAAAAAGAATGGAAAATTAAAAGTCTGTGTTGATTTTCGAAACTTGAATTTAGCTACACCAAAGGATGAGTATCCTATGCCAATTGCAGACTTGTTAGTCGATGGAGTAGCCCGTCACAAAATTCTATCTTTCATGGATGGTCATAATGGGTACAACCAAATTTTTATTGCAGACGCAGACGTTCAAAAAACAGCCTTTCGTTGCCCAGGTGCTGTTGGAACTTTTGAATGGGTTGTGATGCCATTTGGTCTGAAGAATGCTGGAGCTACCTATCAAAGAGCCATGAATGCAATTTTTCATGATATGATTGGTAAGTTCATGGAAATCTATATTGATGATGTTGTGGTGAAGTCACATGGGGAAGCAAACCACCTAGTCCATTTGAGGAAAGCTTTTGAGCGGATGAGGCAACATGGCTTGAAAATGAACCCACTAAAGTGTGCCTTTGGAGTGTCTGCGAGTAACTTTCTTAGGTACTTGGTGCATGAGCGTGGTCTGCAGGTTGACAAGAACAAAGCCAGGGCTGTGATTGAGGCAAAACCACCACAGAATAAGAAGGAGTTGTAGAGATTTCTTGGCCAAGTTAATTTTTTAAGACGTTTCATTTCTAACTTGGCTGGGAAAACCAGAGTCTTTTCTCCTCTGTTGAAACTCAAGTTTGAGGCGAATTTTAAATGGGAAGAACACCACCAGTCTGCCTTTGATATGATAAAGCGGTACCTATCCAAATCACCAATACTTGTACCGCCTGTGAAAAATAAACCTTTAATTTTGTATATATCCACCGCAGACGAGTCCATAGGATGTCTGTTGGTGCAGGAAAATGATAAAAAACAGGAGCAGGCTGTGTATTACTTGAATCGATGTTTGACCCAGACCGAAGTGAAATATTCTTCGGTCGAAAATTTGTGTCTTGCTCTCTTTTTTGCTGCAATAAAATTGAGACATTATTTGATTTATTCCGAGGTCTATGTGGTTGCTAAGACTGATATTGTCAAATATATGTTGTCTCGCCCTTTGTTGAGAGGTCGAATAGGTAAATGGATTTTGGCCTTATTTGAATTTAATTTAAAGTATATACCATAGAAGGCTGTCAAGGGATAGGCACAGGCAGACTTTCTTGCAGATCATCCATGTCTAGAAGTGGAAGCAGACGAAGAAAAAGGGATTAACTTGTTTTCAATAAGTTTAGTTCCCTAGAAACTTATTTTTGATGGATCTAGTACAAAAACCATGTCTGGAGCTGGAGTCGTGGTAATCTCCCCGTATGGGCTAAAAACACAAATGTCTTTCCAGCTAGATTTTGATTGCACAAATAATCAAGCAGAAAATAAAGCTTTGATTATTGGTCTTGAGATGTTGGTGGAGCTTAAAGTATCCATGGTTGAGGTTATAGGGGACTCACAACTAGTGTTGAAGCAATTGTTTGGTGAGTACAAATGTACTAGCCTTGCTTTAGCCCCTTATTTTGCCTTGGCTGTGCAATTACTGGAAGAGTTTGATGATGTGTCCATCAAACACGTGCCTAGAGACCAGAACTATGAAGCTAATGAAATGGCCCAGATTGCTTCAAGTCTGCGAATTCCTGAAGGTGTAATGCAGAAGGTTGTAATAATTGAAAAGCGCAGTCTGCCATCAATTCATCAACATGGCATGACAATTTCTACTTGCAGCATTGATGTTACCCAGACAAATTGGCGCTTTCCAATGATTCAGTACCTTAGGGATCAAAGCACTAAGGTATCTAGGAAAACCAAAATGCAAGCTCTCAATTATGTTTTGATTGAGGATGTGCTTTATAAGAGAGGCCATGATGAACTACTGCTACATTGTCTGGGTCCAGATGAAAGTTTCCAGATGCTGTCTGATGTCCATGATGGGATTTGTGGTGCACACCAAGCTAGGATCAAGATGCGCTGGCTAATTCGCAGACATGGTCTCTTCTGGCCGTCTGTCCTGAAAGACTGTATTGCTTATGCTAAGGGCTGCAAATCTTGTCAGATCCATGGGCCACTTCAAAGAGTTCCAGCCTCTGAACTTAATTCTATTGTGAAACCATGGCCATTTCGAGGCTGGGCTATCGACTTGATTGGTAAGGTGTACCCCTTTCATCCAAAGGTCATTCATTTATTATAGTGGCAACAAATTATTTTACCAAATGGGTGGAGGCTAAACCAATGAAGAAGGTAGATCAATCTGATGTAATCAAGTTCATCAAAGAGGACATTATTCATAGATTTGGTCTACCAGAAACAATTACAACAGACCAAGGCATAGTTTTTGTCAGCCATCAATAGAGGCATTTGCAAAGGAAATGGGTTTTCATCTGTTAAATTCTACTCTTCATTATGCACAAGCTAATGGGCAAGCAGAGGCTTCTAATAAGGTGGTAATTAATTTGCTTGAAAGGATGGTGGATGACAACCCCAGACGTTGGCATGAACTTTTGTTTGAAACAATGTGGGCTTATAGAACTTCACAAAGAAGTTCAACTAAAATGACACCTTTTGCCTTGACATATGGCCATGATGCAGTCTTGCCAATGGAGCTAATAGCTAGGTCTTTAAGAATAACGATTCAACATAATCTCCAGTCTGGAGAATACGATGAGGCTATGATGCTTGAGCTTGAGGACCTTGAAGACACACGTTTGACAGCTTTGGATAGATTGCAAGCTCAAAAACTCAAAATTGCAAAGTCTTACAACAAGAGAGTAAAAGGTAAAAATCTGGCAGTTGGTGACTTGGTCTGGAAAGCAATTTTACCTCTTGGCAAGAAAGATCACAAATTTGGGAAACGGTCTCCAAATTGGGAAGGACCATTCCAAATTCATGAAGTGTTGAGGGGGGTTGCTTATTGGTTAGAGTCACTTGATAGAGAGCTTCATCCCAGAAAAATCAATGGAATTTATCTCAAGCCTTATTACCCCACAGTATGGGAGGCAAGAGGCTAAGAGTCCCAAGAAGCTATCTCAGCCAGATTCATACTTATGTCTGTGCATAGATAAGTTGATTTGCTTTCATGTGTTTATTCCAAAATGAGAGCAAGTTTGATCGAGCGGCCATGACTGGCTGTGGATGGCTGGATGCGCTCAGACAGAGTTAGCTGTGAAAAAGTTGGGAATACTTGCTGCAATCATCTTGGGATTTAGCAAATTTGCACGTGGCCTTTGGAGTTTGAAAGGTAATTTAAAATTTAAACACTTGGATTTATTCCCATAAAACCAAGTGTTGGGGGGCATTGTTTATACCTAAAATAAACCAATAGGGTAAGGCCACGTGTCAAGGTAAAGCCTAATTATCAAGAAAATCAATAGGCTGGATTTGGGCTGGGTTGGACTAGCTTACAATTTAGTGGCCCAGACAGATTTTTAAGGAGGTTGGATCTTAGGTGGCAGAAGATAAGATTGGATCTGGTAGTTTGAGTTTGATTTAAAATGGGAAATTAAGGATTTTTAGGTAGTTATCTTTAAGGTTGTTGGAGATAAGGTTAAATAAAAATTATTGGATAACTGTCAAACAACTACCAAACCCGCAATCCCACTACCAGATCATGGAGGAACAGTACCGAAAATCAAGGAACAGTATCGAAGATCATGGAGGAAGTTCCCAGCACTGAAGAGAACAAAAACAGCGAGAAGAGAACAGTTGAGAGGCTTGCCCAACACACACAGATTGCCCAGAGCATGTTTTTCAGCTTTCAAACTGCATTTTCTAGATTTCAGCAATAGTTTCTAGATTTTCTAGATTTTCCAAATTAGTTCATAGCCTTAGCCTAGGTTTGTCCATCTTTGTTCATATTTTCTTTTGCAAATTCCAATTAAGATTAGTTTTTAAACATTTGGAAGCAACTTAGCCTTCAAAACAAGTTTGCCCTTTTGATTTGGTTAGTTCTTTTTCCTTTTATGGATTTAGTTATTTTGTTTGTTCATGTAAATAGGATGAACATTTTCTGCCTTTGTTCTTTTATCTCTGCACAATATCCAGACATGCAGTTTGTTTAATTTCAATTTCCAGATTTAAATTTATAAGTTTCCAAACTTTAATCATTTCATAGTTTCTTCTTCAGTTTTAGTTATCATTATGGGCTGCGTAGTTGTAATCATTGTCTGTTATTTTACTTTTTCCGTTGTCTGCGAATTTAATCTTTATGGCATGTTATTTTCTGTTATTTACTTCATGTTAGTTTAATTGCTTCAGGATATTGCATTTATTTTAGGATTTGTAGCTTTTATTACACTTGTTTGGTTGTGAAGTCCTTGGAGGCTTCCAAGGCAATTAGTAACCCATTTTGTAGAACTCCACCCTATGTTTTGCAACATCATCTTGGGCGCAATTTATTTCACAGACATTCTTTCTAGCCATCCTATTGGAGGTCGACCGTTGGAAAGGAGAAGGGTCGTCTGGAAAATCCTATTTTTCTTGTTTTTAGACAAAGCAAGTGGCACGCCTAATAACCAAACTCATGTGGTAAAGGCCGGCTTAGGATTTTTTGAGGAAACAATCCTTTGTTGGCACACCTTATTTCCTCAAAAAATCCTAAGCCAGCTTTTATAACGTGAGTTTGGTTATTAGGCATGCCACTTGCTTTTTCTAAAAACAAGAAAAATATGATTTTCCAGACGACCCTTCTCCTTTCCAACGGTCGACCTCCAATAGGATGGCTAGAAAGAACGTTTGTGAAATAAATTGCGCCCCAAATGATATTGCAAAACAGAGGGTGGAGTTTTGCAAAATGGGTTACTAATTGCCTTGGAAGCTTCCAAGGACTTCACAACCAAACAAGTGTAATAAAAGCTACAAATCCTAAAATAAATGCAATCTCCTGAAGTAATTAAACTAACATGAAGTAAATAACAGAAAATAACATGCCATAAAGATTAAATTCACAGACAATAGAAAAAGTAAAATAACAGATAATGATTACAACTACACAGCCCATAATGAGAACTAAAACTGAAGAAGACACTATAAAATGATTAAAGCCTGGAAACTTATAAATTTAAATCTGAAAATTGAAATTAAATAAACTGCATGTCTGGATATTGCGCAGAGATAAAAGAACAAAGGCAGAAAATTTTCATCCTATTTACATGAACAAATAACATAACTAAATCCATAAAAGGAAAAAGAACTAACCGAATCAAAAGCGCAGACCTGTTTTGAAGGCTAAGTTGCTTCCAAATGTTTAAAAACTAATGTAAATTGGAATTTGCAAAAGAAAATATAAGCAAAGATGGACAAACTTAGGCTAAGGCTATGAACTAATCTGGAAAATCTGGAAAATCTAGAAACTATTGCTGAAATCTGGAAAATGCAGTCTGAAAACTGAAAAACATGCTTTGGGCAGTCTGTGTGTGTGTGTGTTGGCCATTAAATTGTAAGCCAGCCCAGCCCAAATCCAGCCTATTGTTTTTCTTGATAATTAGGCTTTACCTTGACACATGACCTTACCCTATTAGTTTATTTTAAGTGTAAACACCTTTAATAGAAAATGTTGAAAGTTAACATCCTTAATTAGAAAAAATTAAAAGTTAGTATCTGTTGTCTCCAAAATCTCCTTTTCTGGCTGCGTGGCAGATAAGACTGCAAAAGCATGCCACTCACTTTACTCAAAGTAAGAAAGAAAGATTCCCGGTGACCCTCACTACTTCCAAGCGTGGAACTTAGCTACGAATCGATGGAAGAGTATGGGTTAAATAAACTATGAGATGCACCCTGATCAGATGATTATCATAGAAACAAGGTTAAATCCCCATTCTGGTCCCTGAACTATTATACGGACCCCCGATTTGGTCCCTGAACTAAAGAAATCCCCGATTCGGTCCTTAAACTATTGTATGGACCCCCGATTTAGTCCCCACCATTTATAATTTGGCCTAAGTTGGTCCTTGAACTATTGTACGAACCTCCAATTTGGTCCTTACTGTTTACAATTTCACCCCAATTTGGTCCTTGAGCTATTATTTAACAGAAGGACCAAGTTGGGGTTAAATTGGTAAACAGTAGGGACCAAATTGGGCATCCGTATAATAGTTTAGGGACTAACTTGGGAGTCCGTACAATAGTTTAGGCACCAACTAAGGGGTCCATACAATAGTTGAAGGACCAAATTAGGGATTTCTTTAGTTCAGGGACCAAATCGGGGGTCCATACAATAGTTCAGGGACCAAAATGGGGGTTTAACCTAGAAACAAAGGTGCATTCCAGCATAAAGGTCCATAAATAATTGCCCTGGAAGAACATCAGGGACTTTTCACAACTAGGGTCAAAATGTTAGTTTGCTAATCAAAATAAAAGAGAAAAAAAAAAGAAAAAAAAAGAGAGTGCATGGCAGGAAAACTAAATTGTAGAGAGAAAGCGTGATGCCGCCGCGAAAGTATGAAAACGTAGAAAACGAAATAGAAGTTGAAGCATAAAACTAAACTTAAAAGAAGCTAGAAAGATGAATTTGGGGCAAAATGCAATAAATTGAATTGCAGAAAACTAAATACATCAAGTGGAGATGTTCACAACGAAATAACAAAAGTCAGAATTAAAACTAATGGCAGCGTAGAGCTAAAGACTAAATTAGGAAAGTTGTTTGAGAAAATTGGATCTAAACTAAGACATTACTTGTAAAACCAAAATGTAGATAGCGTTGGGTTAGTTGTCTGAGAGGCTGGTCTCTTTCGCTTTGTTTCTTTTCTGCATATTTATAGCAGTAAACACCCCTTGGTAGCGTGCTTAGAGATTTGTGATAGCAATCTTGAACAACCAACAGCAACGTGATATCTAAAATAAATTGATTAATTTGTTGATGTTGCCGATTATCCTCCTGAAAGCTCGCAACAAGGTAACGGTTTTGCTGCCATTGGGGGAATAACCACTCAATCTTAGCCAAAGAGATTTACTCCCAACAATTTTCAACTAATGAGATTCTTGCCAACATGGATGACACGTGGCACCATTCTATTTTTTTTTTTTTGCAAAAATGGGTGTAAACAATGCCCCCCAAAACTTGGTTGCATGACTTCATGGAAGTGGAATCAAGTTTTTGAAAATTTTGTTTTTAGCACTCCTCACCATGTGGCCATTCTAAAGGAAGCATGATGTCTCCAAGAATGTAGAAATTTGAGATTATTGTTTTCTTCAGCATAGCATAGAATATCATTTGACAGACACAACTGTCAGACACAGCAACTTCATAGATAAATAAACCAGCTAAAAGTGTATCTGCAAAAAATGGAAAAATGTAGCCTCCAAAAAGAACAATTCCATGAATTCCCTTGTTGGCTGACATGGAGACATAGATCAAGCATGCCTCCATAGAAAGAATGTCTTAAAAGCAGTGCTATCTCACAGCCTTCCTTAAAGCCGCTCAACTGCAAGATTATTCACACTATTGTAGAAAATTAAAAACAAAAACTAAATTAAAGCTGATCTCCATCCAAACCTGACTTTGGCAAAGAGATTATTTCACTTCGATCTCTTACATGACTTACAGACCAAAGGGCAACATGGCTGAAAAGGTAAGCCATTTATTTTTGTGAGGTGTAGATTACCATCAAGGTTTTGTAGCCAGTATATGCCTTCATCTAATGCCTTGTGCGTTTGCAAAGATTTCATATTGTTGGTAGAATGTCTCCTGGGTGACATGTTTTTAACTAACAACAACATGCCTCCTCTTGGAACAAAGGTTGTAGCATCTTTTTTATGAACCCTCCCTTTGTTTTCTTTGGCGGAAATGTTTGCTTTGTTCTTTGCTGCCTCCGTGCTACTAAAGGCTACATCTTGCGTCTTTGTAAAAACAAAAGGGAGATTTGGAATGGAACTTGGAAGTTCAACAATAAACTCACCAAGGCTAATTGTTTTGCTACTGACATTAAGCTCCTTAGCTGCCTTTAAGTCATTCGACTTAAAAGGAACATGCTTGGCAGATGTCTTAGGAGACACGCTTGCATTGACTAAATTTTGATTTGCCTCTTGAGAAGCTACACTGTGTTTCTTCTTTTCCACCCAAATAAACCTTTGCTTCCCTGAAGGTTATTGCCATTGGGAAGCATGCACCTTGGCAACAACATGCCTCTGACGCTTTTTAGCTCTTTTCTTTTGAAGTCGCCTTCGAAGAGTCCTAGGATTTTGGGTAGGGAACTCTGGGTGGGCCACCAGGTTTATATGGTGACCATGTCAAAATTGACTTTATTTATAGAGGCAGCATTTGCACATGCCTCCATGCTTGTCTACAAGATCATGCCCCCCATGCCTCCACTCAGCCACTCAGAGACATGGATTTGTTGCCTTTGTTCCTTCTCTAGTGTCCAACAGAAGACTTTAGATTTCTTCCTCCTTCTTTGACTTGGCAGATGCAAAGGCATGGTATTTCTTATGCCACTTCCCATGTTATCCTTGTGGCTGTAAGGAAAATCTAGGAATTTTTTGTGAAAGCCACTTTGGAAAGAATCATTATTTTTTGAATATGGCCTACGACATGTTGGACAACATGGTGGCCTTGTGCAATGAGTTTGCAAACTGCTGAGGTGGACTAGGCTTGCACATATGCTTTTGCTGTGGCGGCATTAGTTGGACGTTTGGATTGGTATCAGGCTGCAACGACACAAACCTTGCTGCCTCTTTAGTTGTAGCTTTGTGAACTTCATTAACAATAAGGTCTTGCAACCTTTGTTGCTCAATCTGAATAGGTTGCCCCTCGAGACTGGAAATGACTCCCCTCTTCAGACAAACGACTTTAAAAGGATATTTCACCTTTAGCCGTTGTCCATAATTGAACTTGGAAGGGCTTCAACCATTAAGAAAGTATGGTCGTCGCAAACACTTCTTAAGCAAGGCAAAAGGAACATGCTTGTTAGTCTCAAAAGAAGTAGAAATAGATGAGGTGGATACCTTATCCGATTTATGTACTGATACCGGCCAAAGTGTTGGCTTTTGTGTAGCAGCATTAGCTTGTTGTCGGCCATCAAATGGACCTTCATTGATGGATGGATGACATGTTTGCACATGAGTTGGTTTAGGCCTCCCAGGTGTAAGAGGACTATTGCTAGTATTAGTCTTTGTAGGCTTAGAATGACTTGGAGGCATACTTGTTGAAGTTGCCTCCAAGGCTGCATGGCATTGCTGACTTTGGGTAGCACGCTGCAATTGTGATTCATGCCCCTCGAATGTTCTGGTGGGGTTACTCTCTGGCCTTAGTGTCATCTGATCTTCATTTATAGTTGACATCTCTGTCACGTTTTGCAATTTACAAAACTGCTTCAGAGTTCTTAGAGATGTGGCTGCATGGTGCTTCTTTGAATCCTGCATTAAAACCTCACTTTTGGATTGAGGGGTTTTAAGTTCTAGAAGATTTAATTTGCATCCTTTCCAATTTTCCTCCAAATTCCTCCTCTATTCATCATGAAACCTTTTAGATTTCTCAACAATATCAGCTATCATTTTAGCAAGTGATTTGGAAGACTCATTGTCAGTTGTTACCCTTTCATTATAAAGTGGATTGATATAAGAGAAAGTATGTGATGGAGTCATGAAGAGCTTCTGGCAGTCATCAAAATAAGGACTTGCCATGGTGGCACAATCTAGTAGCAGAAGATATGATCAACAAACTTGTGAAAACCCAAGGTGGGTCCCATTGGGCATGCCAAAAAGAGATTATTGCCTCCAAAATCTCCCTTTCTGGCCGCATGGCAGATAAGACTGCAAAAGCATGCCACTCACTTTACTCAAAGTGAGAGAAAGATTCTCAGTGCCCTCACTACTTCCAAGCGTGGAACTCAGCTATGAGTCAATGGAAGAGTACCGGTTAAATAAACTATGAGATGTGCCCTGGT